CAGCTGTCAGAAGCAGGCTCGGCCAGCTTCGGCTTTCAGCACGGGTCAGCCAAGCCGATGCATATGCGTTCGGCTCGACTGAGCCGCTCGGCCACGTTCGGGAGCTGTACGGGCTATAGTGAATAGCCCGTACAGCACCCCTTCGGTTCTACTGAACCGAAGGGGTCCTGGGGCCGAAGCTAGCCGAAGGATCGGCCGAAGCTACGGCTAAATCCTTCGGCAGCTTCATGAATAGACCCCTATATGTTACAGAAAAACAATCTGTGCTTGCAAGTTAAAGCAGAACTAAACCCTTATTTCTATTACAAAGACAGCACCATCTTAGCTTTTTTTTCAATTTGCGGCTGCACATGTTATGAGCTATGACACCGGCCATTTAAGGGCTTGAAAGTTTGGTTGAGAGTTGACATATGCACACTGGCAAACTGAACAGTTAAAATCGGTTCCACTTTATTTGCTCCCATTACTCCCATGTAAGTACAAAGCTGTCACTCTTATAGGCCATGTCCTGTCAGCATTTCCTTGTCAGAAGATACTTAGGAGAATTTGTACTTGTATTCCTTGTTATAGAAAGATCATTTATATAGATTTGTTACAAATTATACAGCTGCAGAACAACAGTATATAACATGAAAAAGCTACCTACGGATACCTGCTTTGAATGTGAGAAATTTAGAGGTATGTTTTTTCATGAATTTTGGGAATGTCTGATAGCGTGTCTATTCTGGTCTTAACTAAAGCTATATATTTCAGACATTTCTGTTTGTTTTGCCAAGTATTTGTGATTTCAATGATTTAGGGTAAATAATACAATTGTTTTTACTCCCTTTTTTTGCTTGTGAATTCTTCTTGGTTTACAGTATCCACCATATATAGGTGTGGATGGCTTTGGTAATATCTTCAATACTCTTTATTAAGCCTATCTTTAAATGTAGAGGACGTGAAATTTATGTGGGATATGTGGATGAGTTCTTCCTGACAGATAACCTACAATCTGTTATACCTGCTGAATAATTACTGATGCATTATTATTGAAGAATTGGAAGTCACTATGGATCTGTTTAGAACATTGCAATAATGATGTATTTTTTAATATTTGCACATTGGGGTTTTTTTTTTAATAACACAAAACAAAACTAATAAAAAGTGTTTTAATAAATAAAACTGGAATTGTTCGTGCTACATTTGCCATATGTACAAATCAACTGTGCATGCAGTAATTAAAAAAAATATATGATATGACTCCAGGAACATAAAACACAAGTTAATATCATGTGTAAATGACATTGCTCCTGTTTATAAGTGTTAAAAAATGTTTTAGGGTAAATAATAACTGACCCCATCTTTTTTGTCTCGCTCCAGGGCTCCATGAAGAAAATCCCGGGAAACCTCTTCATTCTCATCTAACCACTGGATAACAAAAGGTTCAAACCAACTGTGAAAGCAGAAAAATGTATGAACTTATTTCTGATACATACCATTGTAGGTGTATTTGACCTCAGTTATTGCAGTGCTTCACTTTGTTAAAAGCTACATAAACAAGGTGTCATATGTTTGGACAAAATACATTATTCTCATGCAATCTTGTGACATTTTGACAATGTATGGTATAAAAATAAATAAAATAAATAAAGTAAATGTACTAAAATTTCATGCATTTAATCCATGTAAACAATTTCAAACTAGAAGTCCTGCTCCAGCCAAAAGAAAATGTGGGACGACTATTCTGCCACGTTTCTATTTCTGACTGTGACCCCATCCCACATTTACTGACCCTTTGATTTGCATGTATCACATTAAAATAAGGGGTGTGTTGGTCACTAGAACAGGAAGGCATGGGCAGCAATAACCATTAGAAGTTTTAACCCTTCCTACTAAAAATATATTTTTTTCCTATGTCTACATTGGGAGATTTTCTATCACTTCCTATTTCGACAGGAAGTGAGAAGAACCCTTCCCAACAGGGATACCAATTTCAATAAAAACCTGACAGAGGCACTAACCCTTCTCTTCTCTAATCATTGAGCTTTAATGAATAGAATATCATGGCGGACATAATGATAACAAACCATGAACATGTGCTATGGGTGAGAGATTTTGTTTAGAAATATCTGACAGCACCATGCCACTTACGCTGGATATTCAGGCACTTTGTTCTTAAATGCTGGAAGCTCTGTCACATATTCATTGTATAGCCACTTGACTTTAAAGTGTAAATTCATGTAGTCCGCACTCTTACATAGACGGTGCTTATCATGTTCTATGAAAGTAATAAACAAAAAAAGCACATTTTATAAATGAGATGTGAATGTGTAAAAGTTTATTCTGCTAGCAGTTCCCCCAATCCAAGTTTTTATTACAATATTATTTGTAAAATAGCATATTATATAAATAGTGAAAACAATATAAAATTTAGTGAACAAAAGTTACTTGATGCGTTAGTGTATGTGATAATATCCTTAAAGTGTTAAAGAATCCTGAATGTTGAAGATCATGTTAGATAGTACTGTGCTGGACAAATTCTAATGGCTATACAGAACCCTGTAAAGGCAAGCAATGATATTGATTCACACATCTCTTGAAATAACGGGTAGGCTATTAGCCATTTAGAAAATAAATTATTTATCCAGCCAAAGCTTTTTGTTACTTAGTTTTGGGAAGGGCGACAATACTGACAATGTTTAGCAAACAGCATGTTTAAATGTAACAAAGACAGAAAGAAAATTGCTTATTTTTAGTAGTAGAACCCCATAATGGCACTATGGGGTCTATTCAGGTAGCAGCCGAAGGATCTAGCCGTAGTTTCAGCCGATCCTTCGGCTAGCTTCGGCCCCAGGACCCCTTCGGTTCAGTATTCACTATAGCCCGTACAGCTCCCGAACTTGCCCGAGCCGCTCAGTCGAGCCGAAGGCATATGCCTCGGCTTGGCTGAGCCACGCTGAAAGCCGAAGCTGGCCGAGCGGCCGGCATTTGGCCGGCCGACAGCCTGCTTCTGGGAGCTGGGCGGAGCCAGCCGTGATCTCACGGCTGGCTCCGGCCACTTGCAGAGAGATCAGCGTCCCTGGTTACCAGCTAACCAGGGACACTGATCTCCAGACAGCAAACTCTCCCGGGCAAATGCTTTTTCTTTACACCGAGCCATGTCAGAATAGAAAAAAAAAATGGCCATAGGAATGCATTGCTAGATTGCTATTGCAGGGCGGGTACAATAGCTAGTTTGCTATTGGCTGTTGCAAATTGAAATAGCCAATAGGAATCTAGCAATGTCAGAATAAAGAAAAAAAAAGAAAAAGCAGTGTTTCTCTCCTTGGCGGCCGGGAGCGGGAAACTCCCGGAGTGCCCCAGAGAGGTTTTTTTCTTTTTTTTTTTTACGGCAGCAGAACCGCCGGCCAATAGAAAACTGTTGGGCGGAGCTAGCTGTCATTGCTAGCTACGCACAATCGTTTTCTATTTATTTTTTTAGTAGGTCGGTCGGTCATTCACTTGACTGCCTACGGCAGCTTAGTGAATAGACCCCTATATGTGCATTAAGGTATACTATAGGCAAGGACGTATTTGGTATTTAGGACAGTAGAGCAGGGAATGGTCAGAGAAGGATCACTTTGATACAATTAGCCAGCTTGAACACGTATTGTAGTATATGTAAACCAAGAATCTCTGTTTTTATACAAAAGTTTGCTAGAAGTATGTAAGGTTGTACAGCATTTTGCAGAAGGATTTATTTATTTATTTATTTATTGGGTTTATTGATAATTTTGTGTAACAACATGTGGTCACAGTCCTCTAGCACCTCATGTGTTATATAAATATGTAAGCTATTTGGATTTTTGTATTTCAGTTATACAGTAGAGTGTAGGTTAATGACCAGACCTGGGTCTGTAGCTCTCCTCTAACTGTGTTAATCTCATATTGGCACTTTATGTTCATGCTTTATACATTATGGAAAGCAAGGAAAAAAGGGGACAAGCGCACTACCAGGGGGTACAAATTAGCTGGAAGGGGTTAAATGAACAAAGAATACAGTGTGCAAGCTCTTTAAAAAACAGGGAGGGGGACCCTGTGGTAGCAAAAAAGAGACAATGTATGTATTGAGAGCGCTACTACTGTTTGTACGCAATTGTAAAAAACTCACATTTAAGATGTCCTTGAAAACACTGGATTTACACTTAACTGGAGAGCGCGACTACCTAACAGGGTACTGTAAAGCCTGATGTGACTGGCTAACAAACTCAGGTAAATGGTGCGTTACTTACAGTTGGAATGTCCTACAGTAGTATGACATCACAGGTCTCTTGGTGCTGTCAAGTCCCCGGCAGGTGTTGGATGGCTGCCGGACTGAATCCGGGGTGTCTGATCTGTCGCCAGCCCACGTACTCGGCTGGCCAGGCCGAGCCGCGGCAGCTGGAGAAGGAGAGAGGTGGATGTCGGTCGGCTGGATGACAGTTGGGGGTGCGCTGAACGCTGTAGGTCAGTGCTCGTTTGTCAGAGGGAGATGTGTTCTGAACTGGGACAAGCACGAAATCAGGGTTGGCGGTAGGCTATGCTCAGGTGAAGAAGGAGAACTGAATTGCGGCCTCACACAACACCCCCAAAAACAAAAACACCAGAAGAGGAGGTAAACACCGCCAAATTTCCAAAGAAAGAAACAGCTTTTCAGGGGAGTCCTCCACCATTAAAATTTTTAACCTCTCTAAACACCAGCTAAGCGGCAGCGAAACATCTCTACTCAAAAAAGGTCTTAACTTCGCCCCAGATGTTACTCCTGATTCTTTTACCTTATTTAAGGACCTAAACAAGTTCATTAGACTTCTCACCCTGAGAAGACATTATAGTAACACAAAATCCTTCATTCCTCCTAATAACAATACACAGAATATGGTCCATAATCATGACACCTTGATAGACATCCTTGATGATCAAGATTAGGGATGCACAGATACTTTTCGATTACCAGTGCAGATACTTGGCATTTTCATGAGAACTACCAGGGTTGCAGCGGTTGCAGCTGGGACCTGGCTCTGGTGCTCCATCACTGTCCTGAAATGATTAGTCGATATTGTTTTAGAAAAACTGTCACATGACAATAAACAAAAATGTATCAGTACTCGTACTTGTAAGTACTCAGCAAGTACCAGTACTCGTACTCGCAAAACTGGTATCTGCGCATCTCTTTATTTATATTTATAAAAACAAAATCGTACATTAAAACCGAGATGTGCAAATCCCAGGAGCTCCGTGTGCTCCTTACAAATGACAGCTGCCTCCTAATTTTTGAATTTTTCTCTAGTCTAGTCTTGGAGCTCAAAAGTATCGGTACATGTACTCGTACTTGTACCGAGTACTGTACTTGGTATCTGTGCAACCCTAATCAAGATGGTGATACCCTTAACACCTTATATGAATTAGCAGACCTAAATTCGACCCTTTCACTGGATTTCAAATCTTTGATCACTCCTGAAATTATTCATACTTTCCTGAGACATAAATCTACCTTATTCTCGGTCGACTCCAAAGGACCTTTCATCAATACATTTTATCATGTAGTCTTCGCAGATCTGCAGAAAGTTTGCAAAAATGCCAAGCATCATCCTAACCTAACATTTTTAGAAAACAAAGCATTGAAAGATCTAATCCTCAATAAAAATATAGTTATTAAACAGGCTGATAAGGGAGGCAGGATCGTCATTCAAGATCGCCCTGTGTATATCACCGAAGCCCTGAGATTACTGTCAGACACCACCACATATATACCGTTACCCACAGATCCACTACCAACGTTCTCCAAAGAACTTGATAACCTCATCACTATAGCATCCCACAAAGCTATTATCAATAAAAAAGAGAAGACCTTTCTGAATCCAGAAAGACTTAATCAATCCCCCAGGACGCCCAATTATCGCCAGCACCAATAGTTTGACCAGTGGCCTCTCTGTCTATATAGACCACTTCCTTCAACCCATTGTGGCATCCCTCCCCTCCTTCATCAAAGATTCTGGACACCTCATCCAGGCCTTATCATCCTACAAATGGGACCCGTCCTATAGTTGGATCTCGCTAGATGTCACCTCCCTTTATACATCTATTCCTCACCAAGTGGGTCTAAACGCCTTGCTATATTTTCTTACCAAAACCTCCATCCACCATAGCCAAGCACAGTTCATTTTGAATTGTGCAGAGTTTGCCCTTACACATAACTATTTCTCCTTTTTGGGCAGGTTCTACTTACAGACGCAAGGGACAGCTATGGAGGCAAATTTTACTCCAAGCTATGCCAATTTGACTATGGGCCATTTGGAGGCACTCCATATTTGGAGCAACAACCCATTTGCTAAACGGTTGGTTTTCTATGGCAGGTATATTGATGACATCCTGATTATTTGGGATGGCCCCATCAATAGTGTGCCTGAGTTCCTTGCTCATTGCAATGACAACCAATATGGGTTGTCCTTCACTTTTGAGTCTAACAACACCAAATTGGTGTTTCTAGACCTCGAATTGTGCTTTAAGAACCAGGATATCATTACAAGTAACCACGTAAAACCAGCCGGAGGCAACTCTTACCTTCCTTATAAGAGCTGTCACCATCCGAAGTGGAAGATAAATATCCCTAAGAGCCAATTTTGTAGACTCGGGAGAAATTGCACCCAGAATACAGATTACGTCACATCCAGCCAACTCCTCCTTAATAAATTTAGAGAAAAGGAATATCCAGAGGAACTTATCATGGAGGCCTTTTCCGGCTACTCAGAAATAGACCAACCTTTGGACTCAACACACCATCACATTGCTAGGGGGGACAAGAAAATACGATTCATCACTACTTTTAACAACGGGTTCACAGCCATACAGAAAGTCATACGCAAACATTGGCATATTTTACAAAAAGACCCTAAATTTGGTCCTCATTTACCGTCCAATTCGTCTATCAATTTTAGGAAGTCCAGGAGTGTCAAAAATATGGTAGGCCCTAGTCGATCTTTCCAAGACCCAGAAGCCCGTCCCAAACATTTTCTATTCGACAATAGAACTGGAGTATTCCAGTGCAAAAAACCCAGATGTTTGCCATGCCAGTTCATTCAGCATGGTCAAACAAAGATTCACGACTATCTCCAAAATTCCTATATCATCAAACAATTCATGACGTGCTCACACGACCATGTGGTCTATGGATTGAAGTGTCCATACGGTCTTATATATGTGGGCCGTACAATAAGACCTCTAAGGGCTAGAATTGGTGATCATAGACGCCTGATAGAAAAAGGTGATATAGAACATAGCGTACCTCGACACTTTACGCCTAAACACAATAAAAACACCCAAAACCTTCAAGTGTTCGCCATCGAACACATTTCAAATCAATTATCCCCTTCCGAAAGGTTCCATCTTCTCTGTAAAAGAGAGACCAATTGGATCTACAAATTAAATACCATGGTCCCAATAGGTCTCAATGAAGAGATAGAAATTCACACCATTCTATAAGTCATTAAAACACATATCGTTTGGCCGCTACCTTTCAGACGTTGTCATACCTCTAATCTAGTTGTTTTTAAACCTCTTCCCACCATCCTCCTTTTTGATGGGGGACGTTTTTAATTACACCTGATATTGAATGATGTATCAATATCAGTTGCATTTTACTCTTCAAATAGTTTTTAACCAGAAATGGACAATAATAATTTAGGTCCCATTTGCCTTGAATAAATCTTTTTAAAGTTTGTATTTTGTTCTATGTATACAATTTTTTGTTTTTAATCCTTCAGTTATTACCGATGAACACTTTAAGCAAATATGTAGGTGCCCCCGATAATCCTGTATAAAGGAACGAATGAGAGATGCGATCTGCAGGTGCCTAGCTGAGTGCTGCCCGATATGTTTATGGGGCGTACACTCATGCTCGATCCGCCCCCCTATACCATTCTACCTATCAGGACAGTATGACTAGTGCTGATCCCGCTCAGCTGTCAGTTTTAAAAAATCGTGAGTTTCCCGCAATTCGGTTCTCTTTCTTCACCCGAGCTTGACAAAGAGGCTTCGCCTCGAAACGCGTAGCCTACCTCCAACCCTGATTTCGTGCTTGTGCCAGTTCAGAACACATCTCCCTCTGACAAACGAGCACTGACCTACAGCGTTCAGCGCACCCCCAATGGTCATCCAGCCGACCGACATCCACCTCTTTCCTTCTCCAGCTGCCGCGGCTCGGCCTGGCCAGTCGAGTACGTGGGCTGGCGACAGATCAGACACCCCGGATTCAGTCTGGCAGCCATCCAACGCCTGCCAGGGACTTGACAGCACCAAGAGACCTGTGATGCCATACTACTGTGGGACATCCCAACTGTAAGTAACGCACCATTTACCTGAGTTTTTTAGCCAGTCACATCAGGCTTTACAGCACCCTGTTAGGTAGTCGCGCTCTCCAGTTAAGTGTAAATCCAGTATTTTCAAGGACATCTTAAATGTGAGTTTTTTACAATTGCGTACAAACAGTAGTAGCGCTCTCAATATATTGTCTCTTTATACATTATGGTATGACCAAGTAAGTATTTGACATAGTTGGTCAGCTTAAACATGTAATGCGAAGTATACCAACTAAGATTCACTGTTTTATGCAAAAGCTTGCTAGAATAAAGTATAGTTGTAGAACAACATGCAGGGGGTTAATTGAGATTGATATTCTGTCTGCTAAACCACTGTCGGCAGGACAGGAAGTCACGGCAATTGTCTATAATGGAGCTCTGAATAGCAGTGAAAACACAATGGAGTTGTAATCATTAACCACTAAAGTATAATATTGTTACATAAGTACAATGATGAACACTACTTAAAATATTATGGACTGTTGTAATATGATTTAATCACATCTACCTATTGTTAGCCTGTCATATTAGGGCTGACTTATATAAAGTAAAGCAGAAAATAATTGGGCATTTTACCCATAACTTCACTTTTTTAGTATAGATTTGAAAATGAAAAACTGACACCTGTTCAGTTGCCATGGGTGACATCAATAGCCTGCCCTTACTTCTGTTTTCATACATCAGCCCTGTAGCCTTCAGTGACACTACAAATGTTCCTTCAGCATTATCTGTAACTCTTAGCCTCAGTGAGTTCAGCTCACATACTAAAAACCTACCTTCCATTGCATATTTCATGTCCTGAGCAAACAGACTCCACATGACTTCAGCACTGATCTTACCAACATTTAGTTCCTGGGGGAATCTAAAAAATATAGGAAAAAGGGTTAGCATGGAGTATCATTTGAAAACAAATGAAATAAATAGTAGCAGTGGCAGAAAACTTTATGGAAGAGCTAGAACCATCAAATGTCACAAAACTCATGTAACACATATCCATAGATATCTGCATTGTCCTATAGGATTAGGCAAACGGCAATGGATTTACCCAGATATACTTCATACATTTCAGTCTATATAGGCAAACAGCCACCACTTTCAGAAATATGGTAAAATGTGCCTTACACCTCTCTGTATGGTTTATTTATTTTAGCACCTTCTATAGAAATCTGCAGTATAGTTAAATATTTTACTGTGTCCCCAGTGACAATTTGCACCATAGTCCATGCTAAACCACAATTACATACCATACCATCCCACATATAATTTCTATACCAAAATCACAGCATCAGTTCACACATCTAAAATAACAGGTAACAAAAAATGTTAAATATATAGAAAATTATAGTGACATCCATTCTAACTTTAGAACGGTAAATAAATGGAATTCTTAAAAAACTTACTGGTTTAGACACGGTGTGTATGAATTCTTATCCTCTTCTATGATAGACACTATCAATGTAATTAGTTTGGACCAAAAATCCAAATTCTTGATACTTGGTCCCTGCTCTTCTGGAGGCACCTCCCCCTTTTTATTCTATAAGAAAAAAAGAAGGTTAACAACTAACAGTGTGTCTTACTAGTGGACTTTAAGTGTACCTGGTACATTCTGGTTTGTCTCCCTCATCATGGGCATTATACAAGGAGAAATCTTCAGAATCAGCTGTGAGAGGCGAGCAGGGCAATATACAAACAGAGGCGATCCACAAGCACAATTTCATGCTAGTCAGCAAAAAAAAACAACAAAACCTGACTAAACTGTCTCAACTACTTTCTTGCCACTACATGGCGCCTCTGTAAAATGTGGTGCCTTACTCAAAGCTGTCCACTATGGGGCATATATAAAAATGTACAAACTAATCTCAGGGTCACCTGGAGGCAGCCCCCTCCCCCTAAAGGTACAGCAGCACACCAAAATACCAGACACCACCTTTGCAAGGCAGCATGTGTCTATACCAATTTAAAAAAAAAACAATGGCAGCCACCATTGAAACTAGCAAAGAGGAGGAAGGTGCAATATATATTGTACAGTGACAGATTAATTCTGACTGACTGAAATGCGCATTCTTAATATTCTGAATATTAAATACGCCTGCATCTATAGTTACTAGGCTCTTTTATCAGCTTTAACAAATAAATGATATACAAGTGCACGCAAAGGCCGGTCACAAAGTACATTTCAGTTTAATGCTTACCATCTGTGAGATGAGTGTTCACATAGTAACAGTTTGCCTTTTCCAGTGATGGCCCTGTAATGTTACTAAAATAGGGCTGGAGTGGCTATGTTCTGGTATACTGAGACGCTGAAGCGCATCCCGACAATTATGCCGGGATCCACCCAGCTGCGTGACTGACAGCTGGCTCTGCCTATCTAGAGGCAGAGCCAGCTGTACCCGTCCCGTCCGTTCCGCCAGTCAGCGCTGGCCAATCGGAGCGGGGAGGGGGGAATCCAGCCCCTCCCCTGTCACGGCAGAGAGCCGTGACAGGATCGAGAGGTGAGCGAATGCCGGTATGTGTTCGCTCACCTCCCGATCTACTTGTCACAGTTCGGCTAGAACTATGAGGTGAGTGAAAAGCACTCACCTCATAGTTCTCCTTTAACATGCGGCAACTGGAGCACCAGCTCCAGGCCCACCATTGAAAATAGGCCCAGCTGGCCCAGATCACCTTGGTATGCCTGATGGCAATCCACGCTGGCCAGGCTGAACACAATTAGGCAGTGGCGCTGGCTGCTCTCTAATCAGGCATATTAGGCGCCCACTTACTGGGGCTGGGGCTAATTAGAGAGCTGCCACTGCTGTTTCCCATCCGACCAACAGCACCAGGCCCATGATGCTCTCAATCAGGCCCTGACTGTGAACCACCTTGGCAAACAGGATTGTGAGTGATGTGAGAGGGGGTGGGCATGCTTTGCCATTACCAGAAATCCCCAAATATTTGCCTGTTTAGAATGCCTCACATTGAGCCATAGCAGAGTAGTACAATTACCGGGTCACTCTGATATTCTCGGCTGTATAGTTCATGACAGTTGTTAAAGATGTATTCATAAGTAGAGTTGAGGCAGGCCTTCACACAGTCTTTCACTACCTGGCTTGCCCTGGGAGGACTCTGTAATTCTTGCACCTGTAAAATTTAAATAAATATTTCAGTGACTTTACAAATCATACAAGATATTGAAGAAAAACTTTATATATATTATGTACAGGACACCAGGAATGGGTCCTAGATGTACGGTATATCCCTCCCTTGTTTAGGTGGTGGTCCCGTTAAGGTCACCTTGTATTCAGGGTTCTCGCCAAACAGGGTGAGGGGTTCCGGATCAGACTTCTAAGGGAAACTGCTAGGCAATCTTCCCACAGTTGTTAATTATACATGGGTGCCGGAATCCGGAGGCTCAGAGAGATCTAATCCATATCTGCTACGACAGTTTAAATCTTATTGGTTTATGTAGGAAATAACTTGAGTCAAAACCTGTGGATACATCAAGAATGAAGTTTCCTTGCATGCTGGACCACCTTTGTGCTTTGTGTACAAGACACTGTTCAAAACAGGCCACTATTATGCAGTGGCGTCACAAGGGGGGTGCGGCCCGCACCCGGGTGCCACCATTGGAGGGGTGACACCAAAATGAGTCATTTTGGTGTCACCCCTATGAAAAGTCGGGCACTCGGTCACGGACCCAGAGCCCGACAGTGTCAGATGACCGCGCATGCTAGTGTCATTATCGGTGCATCCCTAATAATAAGTAATTCTGCAATAATAATAATTATGCCAAATCATCGTATTCACCTTCATTCTGAAAAATGTAATACTGGTTAATAGATCAACAGTGGATTTCAGATCTTGAAGTCGTTCTGGGCTACTAGCAGGAAAATTGTTCTGCCAAAACAAGAAAAAGAATGAGGTTAAAGCATGTACTAATCATATGTATAATCTGCAAATTTCAGCTGTTTTAATTAAGAAGGAGTACATGCGTTACAAAGCTCCTATGTGCCTTCTAAACACGTAGACGTGATTGTTTCATCCTGCGTATATGTTTTAAAATACAATTGCTTGTGTGTACTGTTTTACATAAACATCAATTGTGTCCCTACTCTGATAATTAGTCACAGATTACATTATATCCCTTTGTAGAAAGCACTACTCATCTTTTAGAATTACATGGCAGTGGTCTTGCAGAGGATTCCGCTATGGAAATCATGTACAGCACATGTAGAAAGTAGGAGGAAACAAGTCTTAGCTCCAAGTTAAGCAGAAAACTTGGAAATCAATTAGAGGATTATAAAGGGTGCAACAAGGTGTCTGCATTTTTTACAGTGTGATTAAATAAAAGACACAGATGTTCCTGATTTGTTCACTTTCGACTAATTATTTACTGTAGCAATGCACCATAGACACCTGAAAATTATTTCAGGATCTTACATCACAGTGACTTCAAATAACTTAAAGTGATATTAAAGCCTCAATTTTTAAAAATGTTTTCCTTTAAGTGGACCCTCATTTGCTGGAGGCTGTTGCTGCTTTTCTTTCAAACTGTTTAATTCCTCGTTTTCTAGTGGGTCCCCGCAGCACTCTTCCCCTTGTCCCCTGCACAGGTGCCACCATCGTTCTAATGGAGGCACCCGTATGCACTCGTGCCCGCAGTGGCTGTGTGCGTCCATAGACACACACAGCCCTGTGGCAGACCACACCCCCTTCCCTCTTTGATTGATGGCAGAAGGAGCCCCTGGCTCCTCTGCCATCAGTATCCTCCCCCGCAACCCGGAAGTTCGGGGAATGAAGGATCGCTTCAGGACTGGCGGCGAGGACGAGCGTCCCTGACAGGTAAGTGTGGCGTGGGGGGTGCTGGGGGGGACTGAGGGAAAAAAAGGTGCTGGGCCGTTTTTACCCTAATGCAGAGAATGCATTAAGGTAAAAAACGCCCAGACCTTAATACTACTTTAACCACTAATATAACCACTACTTGACAGGGCATATTTTTCAGGTAAACTCACATATACTGTACATAAAAGAAATGTTTAGTGTTTCAACAAAGCCATTTCCCTCCTGGATTGACAGATTTGATTTGATTGACAGATTTGGGAACAAGCTTCCATCAATTCAGTGTAATTTAAAAAAAAAAGCTTGCATTGTTATAAGGTGCCCTGATTTAAGAGCTGGATGGCTGGGCACAAAAAGGTACTAATGTGACCCCACTTCTCTCATCCACCAGTAATTTCAAAAATAGGTAGCCAGTCACATCACTTGTCTTTCTACTATGATCCTGCATTCTAATTATTCTGGGTACAGTTGCGTGGACTTCAAACAAGTACTAGAATTTCTGTTGTTCCATTGCAATACGACTCCCCAATAAGTTTAAATTAATATTTGACTTTAACTGTATAATAAAATATCTTCTTTCTTAGTAAATTATAAACACTAGCAAAACTGCTAGGTATGAAGTATAACTGAGGAAGATGTAATTGCTGACATGCTTCTAAAAATAGGTAGCTTCCCGGCTCTCATGCTGACCCCTTGGTTTTCATACTTTCAGAGTTTTTCCACCTCGGACAAGAATGCAGATCCAGAGTTTTGATCTTATACTAAATTCACTAATCACAAGCCTTTTCAAGATCTGTGATTAAGAACGTATTAAAGACATAAGCAGACAACTACCTAAATCTGTAACAGAATCTCCATATTTCTCTCATGGCAAGTTTACTTTAAGAACAATCCACATAGTATACCACACTACATACACAAGCCTTAGGCAGGAGTCTCTATTACAGTAAATCTGCAGCATAGTAAAACATATAGCACTTGCACAAAAGTAAATCTACAGGAAGGCACTGTCTTCTTACCCGATACATGGAAAGATCAATACGCAAGGAGTTGTGCAGTTGATCGAGCAGCTTTACAAATCTCTCCTTCTAAAAAGGCAAAAAGCAGAAACCACTGAATTTCACTGCAATTATGGCATAGATGTAACTCTGATAAAAATGTGCATTAACATAAATCATCACGTTTTAATTCACAAAAGCAGTGCATAAGTTATTGGCTAATTTTAACTATTAACTTTCTTTTTTCGATTCACAAAATGTTTTTACTGTTTTCTTTCTTAGATATACTGTTCAGATGAAAAAAGACACATGTCCATCAAGTTCTAGAACAATGCAAAAAATATGCATTCTCAAAACTCTAAGCTCGGCCAAGTTTGGGAGCTGTAAGGGCTATAGTGAATATACTAGAAGTAGAACCGAAGGGGTCCTGGGGCCGAAGCTAGCAGAAGGATCGGCCGAAGCTACGGCTAGATCCTCCGGCTGCTTCATAAATAGACCCCATAATGTTCAATAATGTTCAATATTTAACTTAGCAGTATGCACACCCGTGTGTAACTCCACCCATGATACCTCAGGACCATCACAATCTTCTGGCATTTATAGATAGACACTTCAATCCACTCTTAAATTTTGCAGCTAGACTTGCTATATCATTTCTGCTGTAATTTTATTAACTCTGTTAAGACAACAATGTTCTTTACTCTGCGATGATGGCCCCTCACCTTGTTTGCCAGTGCTATAAGCTGACCCGCACAAGCCAAATTCTTAGAATAACTTATTCTATTCTTAGAATATTTACCTCTAAAATGTTGCAGCTTGCAACAGCATCATTACATGGTTATATGCAGCCTATGGGGGTGATTTACTAACCTAAACACACGCACGCACTAGGTGCGTGTGATTTTTACACAGCAAAACGTATTTATCAACCAAAAAGTCTCTAAAAGCATATTTCCACTAATGCCATATATAGAAAAATCATGCACATGATGCATATATAATGCTGCTTCACAGTTTAGACAAAAATGGTTAGCTCATGCATTTACATTTCTGCATTCATCAACGCAAGCAACACAACATAGAGCTAATTTACACAACATCACCTTGAAAATCATGCAGGGCTTTGCACAACACACCTGCTGGGTGTGTACACACTACAAAGGTGTTTAGATTCCACCCATAGATCATGTTGGGAGGGAACACACTACAGAGGTGTATACATGTTCGTGGTTTGTTTATAAGGTTAGTAAATCAGCCCCTATGTCTCAAAGTTGTTGCACAGTGTTTTATCTTGCTCTACTAAATACAGACAGCATGAGTCAATATTATTGCTCTGTTTTGTAACTAGTTTGCAGTTATATGTAATAAAGCAATATAATCAATGTCCTTATACCACTGGATAACAGATAAGTATCTTACCCCAAAGTTTGAGGCAGAAAAGCGATCAGAGGCAGACACATTGGTTGATGCAGTTGTGTGGGCATAGTAGGCATTGATATTGGCGAGAAGTGTGCTCATAACAGCTGGTACTCCAGGACACATATATTTGGAAGATAGGCAGGCAAAATGACTGTAAAACAGGAACAAAAAAGTAAGTGATAATTGCCTTAAATAACATTGGTCACCATTAATAAATTGTGACCTTGAAACATGTAATTACGTTATTAACTTACATTTCAAAAATCATAACACTTCCCCAATGATTACTTATTACTGCTTGACAGAAACTTCCTTATACCTGCTTTACCTAATTAATCTAGCCAAATTAAATATGCTGTAGCCTTGGCTCTTTTCACCAAATTTAAAGTAAGTAAAGCACTGAAATGGAACATTAAGTGATGCAAGGAACTAGAGATGTTTGTGAGAAAGACTTGTGAAAACAACCTTTTAATCTTATCTTTAAAACAAAAAACATGGGGGCGTGGCCTGGACATGGAGCCGTGAAGACACGCTTTAGGGGAGCTCTGTGACCACCAAGCTGGATCTACGTTTTAGCTGACTTTATCTCCACAATTTACCCATGCCCAAGGAGCCGAAGGCTTGCGGTACTCACGGTGACCCCCGCTCTGCCTCGCTCTACGACTTTTTTGCCCGCAAATCACCGGATCCGACTCGCGCGGCGGCCTCCAAGATGGCGCTCACACGCTCCTCCACGGCCGGTCTCCAGTCGGGTAAGAAGCAGACCCGTACCACACTGCCTTTGACTGCTGACACAGGGGAGTCCCACGATCCTGACAGCCCCCTGTCCTTGGCCCTGATGGCGTTTCTCTGGTCCTACGCCCCCCCCAGGATCCGCTACAGCATAGTCACTCTTCCCAAGAATAGAGGAGGCATTGGCCTCCCGGACCTGGCCAAATACCACAGGGCGACCCACCTTGCCCGGGTTTGGGACTGGTGCTGTCATCGGAAAACCAAGCAGTGGGTGGGCATGGAGGAGGAAGATACTAACCCAGCTCTGGCCGGACTCCCCTGGCTCTCTTCACCCATGTCACCCTCTACTCGTCTACACCCCACCATACATGGAAGAGCAACTATGTTCCTATTATGGGTTGGAGAGAAAGGCAGGGAAATAAGAGGAATGTCAGCAGAAGAGAGCAAGCCCCTTAAAGTAGTATTAAACTCTCAAACTTTTTTTCAATAATGAATCCAGATTAAACAAATATACATTGCCCAGCAAAACATTGCTTTACATTTTTACCCAAACACTTACAATCATCATGTTCCTGAACAGCTGACTTCTACTCTTTCAGCTCAGCTTCCCTGAGCTTTCCATCCAATACTAGATCACAAAAGCTGGGCATTCTTTAGTAAAGACTGGATCTCCAAAGAAGCAGAGTTCAGCATTGCAAGAAGTAGGATAGGTAAGTATTATTTTCTTTCTTTGCGGGATAGGCTTTATTTTTTTTTTTAAATAGCAATAGAATTGCTATAAGTAATACTGCTGAAGCCATGTCAGTTCCTCTTAGATATTGAAAGTAAAGTCTGATGGATCAAATAGGTCTTCCCTATCCTGTAGGTGTAGATGCCAAACATACAGAGTATTATAGTATCCCCCATGGAACTTCCCCTTATAAACTACTGTGGGGGCTGCATCATCCTTTATAACTCATAAATGCATATAATCTATTGACTGTCCTATTGCCTATTCAGTAATCCCCGTTTCTCACGTCATAGCCTGGTATATGGACTCCACTCCATATCGCATTGCAAACTCATCCACAATTTCCTGGGCAGTCTCATCAAAGTAAACCTTCCAAGCATCATCCCCTTTAGCATCTGGAATTTTAACAACCCCATTATTCTGCACATCCGTTAGGTAGTGGAACAGGTTCTGAAGGTAGAAAAATAAAAAAAATGATACATGGCAATGTATATAACATGTGATGCTCTAGAAATATTAACAATTGAATGAATTTTAGTTTAGAAGTTAAGAAATAGAACACTAGCCCTTTCTTACAAACCTCATGCAGACAGGTGTATTGTACATGATATGGTGCCACCTTCTCCTCGCCTTTGATCTCCACACTGATGTGTAGTCGAATTGCACCAGACACAGCAGACTTGTCTGTACGCTTATCTGTGAAAAAATTATTTTGTCAGCAAGTTTTTAAATTGCTACTATAGTTATCGTTAGATAAAAAACAAATCACATATGTCAGATGCCAGCTTTCATTAAACATTTTATGACAAGCTAAAGCAATGTATGGGGTAACAAATGACCACAACACAAAACCCACAGTCAAAAGAAAACTGAACTGAGAAAACATTTTCAGGATATATCCAACTCTTCATTGATAAAATGACACTTAACTCAGGATTTAAATCTTAAAAATGCATTCAAGTACCTTAGTTATTAACACAAATGTAGCTTATTTGTGTATCACTCGGCTGTAGATCCTCAAATCATCTGTGAATTCATACTTACACTGTCCTTCCTTCTGGAGGGTGGGTACTTTTGTTCCCCATGGTCCCTGTGTGTGTGTTGTAAAGTAGCCACTGCTCCAAGCTCGCTCCCGTGATGGACCACAATCTCAGGTTTAGTTCGCTAATTTGTATTGACACTTTAGTCTATCACAGGATCAAAACCCCAAGACTCTTGAAACATAGCTGCAGCAGTATTTGAGCCAAAGGTGACAATTCCTTCTCCGCAGGCATACAGCTTTAGTATGTGAACTGGGCACAAGCTTCTGTGGTTCAAACTGAATTGTGTATAATTGCACATAATGTTGTCTGAGATAGGATTAATTTTTTTTAGGAAAAAAACCTTGTGGAGCATAACCTGTTCTTTTCAAAGTGTTTACGCAAAAAAAAAAATGCAACCAATTAAATTTCATACTTCACTTGTTTGTGCATGTTGTGCCTGTAAAACTATTTCAAACACTACAATTTGTAAAGATAAATCTGACTATTTTCCTCTTTTTATTTTTTTACAATATGTTATTACCTAGATTGTACCATACATCCATCTCTCCACTCAGGGTTCGAACTTCAATGATGGTTTGGCCCAAGAAATCGTCTGACTCACGTTTGAACCTCTGCTTCACTCTTGATTTTATGTCATCATCCTCATCCCATACACGAACTTTAATTCGATCTGAAGAGTTGTGACACTCACTGGAGATTAAAGATATTGTCATGCCACCAATCCAACAAAACACAATTAATTAAAATAATCATGTGCAACCAGCAGTAAAACATAACAATTAGTCAGAAATAAAATTGTATAGTTTTAAAAGATCCATAAATTTGAATCTGAGTGCTTGCTATGAATTACTGTACTTTGCACACTATCACTGCATTTTACACACAAAATTCTTCCTTTGCTTAATATGTGATGATGCTAGATCTTCAGATTACCAGAAAACCTATATTTTACCTGAGTAATGAAAGTAAGTGCTCTCCTGTACTGTCATTTATGGAAAAGAATATTGTTTCAGAATATTTTTTAACTTACAAATGGAAATTCTCCTCCCAGACGGGATTAAGGTTTCCATAGATAGTTTTAGTTCTTTTCTTTGTTTTCCCAACCTGAACAGTAACGTAAGGGTCACTGGAACCTGTCTTGTCCTTGGCTTGTAGACCTTGTGCACATACCACTGTAATACAAAAAGTAAAGTGAAAATACATTTAAAATTCAGTTAAATATGTTTAACAATTTAAACCTTAAATATAATGAGGGTAATTAATCAATATTGGAGCAGACAACATCTTAAGCAGCTGTGCAGACCAACCAATCAGCTTCTCTCTTTATTTTGTTCAGTTAAGATTTGAAAATGAAAGAAGCTGATTGATTGCCATACACAGATGCCTGTCTCTGCATACCCTCAATGTAATGAGCATGTGGCCTAAGAATGATCTTACATAGAGTAAAACCATCTTATTTATTTTGCTCTAATTCCCTTTTTTTGCAACAATGACTTTTGTTAGCCTATGTAGCACATGCCCATCTACCACTGTAGCCAAATTAATTTCTGTCTCTAGTTTACCAAAGTTTCCCCTTTATTTTGTAGTTGCTACAGTTTGGCTGTTCACTTTGAAAATTGTATGTTCATTTTGCAAAGTGAATGTTAGTGAATAAGGTGAAGCTATACTATATGTTCATTTGGAATACCCAATCCCGTGCTAGCAAAAATCCAGTTTTTGCCCCCCCTTACATATGATTGGGTATCACAGGTTCACTTTATTGACTTTTTGAAGAGAACATTCACTCTGCTAGGTAAAGAGCCTCTATTTCTTTAGTAAATCAACCCCATTAAATTAAATCAAGTGGAGGGATAGTACAGGTGACAGAAATGTGTTGTGGAGTATATAGTGTAAAGCACATAAACTTGGAATATCATACAATTATGTAACATAAAACATAGCATACAGAGCGGAGCAGTGTGGTATACATAATGTACAGCACAACATACCAAAAGGAGTAGTGTAGTAAATAAAATGCAGCACAGCTTACAGAGAAAAGCAGTGTGGAGTATGTGATATGAGTAAAGAAAAGTAATAAGTAAATCCACCCCGATTTGCTTAACATTATCAGGGTTAGTCACAAAAGGGTGACGAGTTAGGAGAAGGCAGGAGAAGTGAACAATCCAGGACAACATAGCTGAACTGGAAAGTGAGCTGAATTGGAGATTTATTCCAAATCAGCTATTTTGTCCTAGATTGTTCACTTCTCCTACCTTCTCCAAACTCTTCACCCTTTTGTGAATAAGCCTGTATATATTCCCAAGCTCAACTCTGTCCTTCTGGCATCCCCATTCTGTCAAGCCTAAGAAAATAAGTTGTTTCTAAGACATTTAAACTAACATGTTCATAAAATTATCTACCACCTACCAGTAATGCTGATCTTTGCTGACCACTTGGATGTACCATCAAGAACACTTTGTTTTACAGCTTTGATTTGATGAGCATGTGTGGCTTTGGGAACTCCAAAAACTTCTTGGATGAGTTCAAAGATCTCTGGCTTGTTCCTTTCACGGATTTTCATACGATCTTTCAGAACCATGATGATATTATGTGTGCGATCTTCTGCCCCGTGCTTTGAGCTCTTCTCTGCTGCTCCTGTTAGGAATTAACACATTAAATATCACTGTAAATTATCAAAATAAAATATTAGGTATTACCGGTATAATTCATTAAAAATAAAGCAAAACTGCAATTTTCTGCAATTCAATTGAATTGAAGCCTCCATTTTAATCTTTTAATCTTTATTTTGAAGAGAACTGAAAGTGGTTGAGTAGTTATTAAAAGACAATGGGCAGTCAGTCCATGGCAGAGCTTAAGAGCTGAGTGCATTTCTGGTAGAGCAACAGGTATTTTTCTGTATTTGTCTAGGGAAATGTGCATGTAATGGTGATTGTACTGCATATGTTTTTTCTTATCTTGCCTTGATGTACACTAGGAACCAACTATCTCTGTAGAAAACAACACCATGTCAAATCTTGCAGGTGGCAAAATGGAAAGAAGAAAAAAATTAGTATTTGCATTTAAGGACTGTGAGTTACAATACCGGTCTACAAAGACACCTTTATTGCTGGTGGTGATCAGAAGTCATTTCACAATTTACAAGTTCACAAAAAACACATACATAGAACACTTACTTTGTAGACAGTCAGCATTTAAGAGGTCCTGGCATTTTTCATGGCACTTAACTCCACACTCTGTGCATCGCATACCCTGACGGGCAATCCCCCACAAAAGCCCTTCACACTCGTAACAATAGGTGGGGGTTGTGGCAGTCCACACCTCAAAGTTGTGGGGAGTAGTGCTGGAAATTGGATAGATTAAAGCTTGCAGGGCTTTCTTGTAAACATGATTTTTCTGGTTAAAAAAAAAAAAACAAGAGAGAAAAGAAATCTCTAATGTTAGCACAAAAGACTACACCAGCAACAAACTATTTGTCTCTAATTTATAGTACTCACTAGCTCTTCATTGTTTAAAGTGCTTGTTGCGAGTGCTGATGTTATGCCTGCTTTACGGGATTGCACCAAGGACTAGAAAAAAGAAGACACATGATGTAATTAAATCTAAAAAATATAAGTTTAATAGCAAAATAAATTATTTTAAGAATAATGTTTCATTAACAAGAACTCTAAACTCAAAGAACTGTAAAAATGAGTTTACACAATTTTAAAATGACCTTAAACACATTTTGACAACAACTTTCTGTTGTTGCAGAGTTTTATCAGACTCATGGAATAACATATTATAAAACAATATAAAAAAATGTGTTATAAAAAAAATGTCCCTTCAAAATAACAAATCACTGCTGATTGTTATCAAATGCACTAGCACAAATGTGTCGGGAGAATTTCAATGGTCAGAATTCTGTATTTGCACAGCAAATTAATAGCAAATTTTGCAAATACTGCTTTAGGTGGAGGCCAGAACTCTGTTGACTTCCAGCTAAAAGCTTTATTATTTGATTATGGTTAGAGAGGTGATTAGAATGGGATGGGAATGGGATATGTGGTCCCATTCAAAAGATCTTTCTCTTTTCCTGTTCTGGTGACCACACAGGAGGTCATGAGAGGGGATCCTGCCACTATCAGCAGCACCTCTTTGAAGTGGCACATTTTGTACTCCCCCTGGGATGGTGGCAGTGGATCTAGCCTTTTCCATCTCTTTCATGCCCCAAATTGTGGGGTCCTTGAGTAGTCATTTCAGCAAAAAAAGAGCGCAATCACCACAAATTGCTTGCTGCAGATGACTCAGGACTCATTAAGAACAACAGTGTCCTCAGTCACGTCACCCTACGTAGTACAACTCACAGGGTTTGGGAGGGGTGAAACATCCCCTGGAATCCTGCTACATTTCCTCCTCTTCTTCTTTGCACTCATCCTCTGCCTTCTATAGCCTCAAAGAGATGGAGAGTAGGCAAAGGATTCTGCTGACTGTCCTCCTGCTGCTGTCCCTCTGGTGCCTGTTCTATGACACCAATGAATGTGTGCTCCATGAGGAACACATGAGGGGTCTTGTTGCTAATCCCTACCTCTATGTTGCTCACCATTCTGGTCACCTCTTCAAAATCTAACAAAATCGTGCACACATCCTGAATGACAGGCCACTGACACGTTGAAAAGAGCCCCAGTCTTTCTTTGTACCATACTCACACAGATACTCATTAATGGGTCCAGTGACAAGGACACATTACCTTCCACATGCTGATGGAGGGCAGGGTTGCCATTCTGGGCAAAGTAATGGTGGCTGGGTACCTGCCACTGTGGTGTAGCACAGGTCGTAAACTCAAGAAAGTGAGCCAAATCCACAAGCTTGAATGGAAGCAGCTGCAAAGGAAGCAGTTTTACCCAGGGCATCGGGTGTGATTAGGGGAAATGTTTTGCTGCAAACCGATATCATTGAGGTGGTTTATTTAACCACTATCAGTGGAAACTGCCTTAATTTGTAGAAAACCTCAGTAAACTGTATGCAGAGGGGAAATATACCAGGCATGCATTTATCTATGTGCGCATCTGCAAAATGTCAGGCACCAGTAGGTATACAAGGTTCTATGTGCTGGTGCTTGATATTTCTGCAACTATTTAGCGTAAAGGGTTTTTTATGGTTAAATTAGTATTTATTGAGAAGTAGAAAAAACATACAGATAAGGCTCGAAATACGATAAACTTATTACAACAATGCGCAAAGAGATATCAAAATAGAGCATTGTACATGGGATAGTCTTAGGATGCATGTTTCATTGCTTAGCAAATCAGCCACATTAGTGTTTGTTTATTTAATTTTTTGTTAAGTAAAATGTTCACCTGCATATTCCATATTTTTTAAACATAAGGCACATAAGAAACATTATTTGGATGTTCAACATGCACAGCAAATTAGAGGCATCCCATGTCAATCAGTTTTTGATTAGCTAGATAGGTTCAGGGATCACTGTCTCTCTGTTCATCAACATTTACGCACATTCCCACAACGCACACATACTGTAATTATTTATCCATGCTTTTGTTCTTTTCCTGTCAAAAAGTTGTGTAAATCTTAAATGCTAATTAAATATAAATTACCATTGCCTTTACAGATGGGTAGAGCATGGAATAAAATAATGAGAAAAAAAGTTAGCGAATTAAATGAGGAATAAAAATAACATCTTAAAAATATTGTTAGCTAAAACTCACCAAGTCGCTGACAAGAGGTATGGGTTTTCTTTTCCTTATGTCCGGCATACTGTCAATAATTATCAGACCGCCAGCAGGCCTGACAGTGAGCATGGTAATAAGAACAGAGTACATAAGATACTGAATACAAAAACAGTGCAAGCTAAAAAAAATTTACATTACTATATGGAAACTATATGCAGGCGCCATTGGCTTCTAGGGTCTCCTTCATATTTAGCTGTGCAATACAGATCAATGCCTCTTACCATAGGCTTGTCTTCAGAAAGTTTTATAAAAACATATCATATATTGTTTCAAAGAAAAGGAGCAATAAAGCACTAAACAAGCAACACTGTTGCATATACAGTATGTATGCATGTGTTTACGTATAAGTATACCCATGATATGCGCACAATGATATTAGGAAATGACTTTAGTTCAGTTGATAAAGACATCTTTTCACATACCCATCTTTAAACCACAGAGACTTTGGCATATCTCCACTGCCTCCACCTCTCGCCTGCAAAAGAAAAAAAAAACAAGCTTTTATGTACTGAAATTTTTTTTTAGATAATTCACTGTTGCACATTTGGCTTCCTCTTAAATATCAAACTGCAACTTCCTGACAACTTCCTGACACTTATTGACATGTTTCATATTGTAATGCAGCAATTTTTAGACTGCAAACAGTATTTACTACTTTTTTTGCAATGGCTCTAAAGCTATACACAAGACAAATGCCCAAAGTGTGTTATTTACTATAAATCTAAGCACACATACAGCACAGGAAAGGAAGTGTACCAGCAGTGAAAACCCTAATTTATTTTACGTATTTGGTTGTAAACTGTGAGGAAATCATTCTTGTGGACAATATGCACGCAACAAGCTATGCGTGTTTTAAGTGTTTCTATTAAATGTTTTCTTGCATGTGCACTTTTTATCATTTTGTGTGTTCCTTCTTTCTAAGATATAAATAAAGTATTTTTGTGTTCTTTAATAGAATTGTGTGTTCATAGTGGTATAGACTGTGTTTAACTGGAAGGAAAGTATTTTTGTGGTTAAAACTGATCCGGTAATAATCATGTCAGGAAACAAGGTGAAATACCCTCAATGACAATGCAGACAGTGATAAAAGCATATTTTAGTAAAAGGGGGAAGGGCAAGATTCTCATTTGAGGAAATTTGCCATCATTTCCAGTCCTGATGACGAACAAGTAAAGTGAGCGTACTCTCTCCTACAGGAACAGAGACAAAAACCTTCCTAAGAAATAATATTTGAACTGAAGAGTGCTCCTTTCCTGCTGCCCACCATTACTGGAATGGAAAGGTTCAGGAAATACAACCTCAATGTGTGTTTAATACTTCTCAGGTAGCAACACAGATAATGTATGTGCATGCAAAAGAAAGAATGAATTAGGACCTGTGTCAAAGGTCTTTTGTTCATTTCAGGACTACTTCTTTGACCATGAAAGTCCATACATACCCCATATGGGATTGCAAAAACAGCTGAAGCAGGTCAAATGCAAGTCAATGTACAGTTGCTGTATACAAGTATGCTTATAGATAATTTCCACAGCCCACGCTACAACCAAACTGGTCAGAAAAGTGTGGCTTGGATTTAACAAAAATTTCATAGGGCTGTAGCAACAATGGTAACATAATAAATATGGATAATGGCACATTTACAAGTAATTGACTTGTCTTGAATCCCTTTTATTCAAACAAAAGAAAACACACACAAACATACATTAGAAATTGAGGAACAGATATGATTACATGTATTACATTCAAACATTTACACACACATTGTACATCAAAAAGGCATACAATGACAGTGTAGACATGAATGAGTAAGAGAGGACATAAAATGCTATATAATGTTGAAACTATGAAACTACAATAATCATTAAAAATTATTGTTTTTTTGTGGCAAACAAATGTTGTTGTACCAACAACATAGTTGCCTGAGCTTAGCAGCCAGGCACAACTTTTGCTGGCAATCCAGTTAATATTTGGACTTTTGCTTAGTGGGTGGGATGACATTCACTAGCAGTGATATACCTTTCATCTCATGTAGGCCGTTCTGTGGGTTTGTCAATCATTGCCCTCAATGACAGCGTGTGGGCAACCTCCTGTTGTTCAGTCTAATTAGAGCTATAGGTGAAATTATGTGGGGAAGTAACAGAAAAAAAACCATAAGGAGCAGATATAGTTCTGCATATGACAGAGTTGACGCTAATGTCAAGAAACTCTGAGTAACCCACACACCTATAACCCATAGCATACCAGAAGAAACCTGGATGTACATTGCGCTGCAAAAATTATTTAAAATGGGTTGCCTAAGGCAGTTCACCGTAATGCGCCTAAACAAATAAAGTGCATTGCAGTGCAGTGCAGTATGGTTTCAATGGGCCCTAAAAGAACATTTCAACCCTCACTAAGTACTACATGCAATTGAAATAATAAAAGCTAAACAATACCCTGGTATTGGATAAATAATAACAATGAGATTGTGTGTTTAAGAAGATGTAGACACTGCTCATTTTGAAAAGTGAATGTTCAGTGAGCTGTGTTCGCTTTGAATACCCAATCATAAGGGAAATTAAAAATGTGAAAAACAAGATTTTTACTTGCATATGATTGGATGATTGAACACCAATTGTACGCATTGTAATTACTAAGCACTCTGTGAGCATTCATTTTGTAAAGTGAACGTTAGAGGACAGTCCTCTACTTCTTTAGTACCAGACCAGAACCAATACATGGCAGAACTCGGGCCAGAACCAATACACGGCAGATTGGGCAGTTAGAATGACACATACACAGTGACCAGCCATCACACACAGTCTGATTCCTGTGGGATGTCATCCACACACACGCGTTAATGGGCAGCTCCTTCCATGCCAGCACACGTGCTCTCCTTTAGCAGATGGGTGCAGCTGTGTTAAAGCGGCGACAGTATGGTCTGTTGGACCCGGGAGGCCGGGGAACACTGCCCCTGCCACTTTAACACAGCCGCATCTACTAGTTTTGCTGCGGCTCAGCCGAAAACAGCAAAGTGATGGCGCACACAGCTGCCTTTCCTTTAGTGGCGCCTCTAGAAGGCAGTGAGCGTGAGGCGGGGAGCTGGTGCGGCTTGTGGAGCGTGGATGCGGGCGGGTCTGGCAGCGGCGAGCGTGAGGTGGGTAGAAGGTGCGGCGTGTGTGGAGCCGCGAACATGGCCAACTAATCGAAAGCCGATAATCGATGATTGA